CCCCCTCTGCTCTGCCCTGGGGAGACCCCACCTGGAGCTCTGCATCCAGTTCTGGGCTCCCCAGTTCAAGAAGGGTGAGGAGCTACTGGAGAGAGTCCAGAGGAGGGCAACAAGGATGATGGGAGGACTGGAGCATCTCCCCTACAAGGAGAGGCTGAGGGAGCTGGGCTTGTTCAGCCTGGAGAAGAGAAGGCTGAGAGGGGATCTCATCAACACCTATGGGGTTGGACTAGATGACCTCTAGGGGTTCCTTCCAGCCCAAAACATTCTGTGATTCTATGAAATATCTCAAGGGTGGGGGCCACCAGGATGGAGCCAGGCTCTTCCCAGTGGTGCCCAGCGCCAGGACAAGGGGCCGTAGGCACAAACTGGAGTAGAAGAGGTTCCAGTGGAACGTGAGGAAGAACTTGCTGACTTTGAGGGTGACCGAGCCCTGGCCCAGGCTGCCCAGGGGGGCTGTGGAGTCTCCTTCTCTGGAGATCTTCAACCCCTGCCTGGATGATGTCCTGCGCCCCTTGCTCTGGGTGAGCCTGCTTGAGCAGGGGGGTTGGGCTGTGTGATCCCTGGAGGTCCCTTCCACCCCCCCCACCATGCTGGGATTCTGTGAGAAGACTTTTGTGTCCCCCTCTTTGCTGAATGAGCTACATAGAAACCCTGCTTAGAGAAGATGCCGGGTGAGCGTGTTTCTCCCCGAGCATCAGGTTGAGTCACTTGAGACACTGCTGGGCATATCAGTGGTCCCAATGTCCCTGTGGAGGACGTGCACCTGCTCTGGACCTCCTCGATGGTGGACGGTGGCCTTCTCCAGCTGAATGGAGAAGGTGGTGGGACATGTTCTCCCCCCCAGGGCCAGCTTCCCCCTGGCTTCTTCCTCACCCTGAGCAGTGGGGACCCTGATAGAGAGGACAACCCATCCTGCCCCCCAATTCCTGGCCGCTTTGTGAAGCTCTGCTGGGGACAACTGTCCCCTCGGGAAAAGGGAGAGCCACCTACCTGGTCAAAGCATTCCTGGCATCCTAAAGGAGAGAGAAGATGGGAATTAAACTCTGAGCGACCTTCAGGCCCGTCTCGATCCCTTCTCTCCCTCTGCTGTCGGTTGCTTTGCTGGGTTTGGGCTTTCTTGGGGCAGCACTGAGTGAGATCAGGGACCTCTTGTACCCAGGCAGTGGCCCCCAGCGAGAAGAAATGCCCTGATACAGCTGGTGGAATGTCACATTTGCTTCCGAACCACTGCTGCTGCTCGTGTCCTGCCTGACACGGCCTCCTGGGGAGGGAAGGTGTCATCCTACGCTGGGTGGCCTCACCCGGGGCTTGAGCCAGGGTTTGTTTGTTAATCCTTGCCACTGTCCTGCAAGATGGGCCTGGGTCTCCCTTACTCTGACACGGGGTTGGGGAGGGAAGCAGCAGACACTTCCAAGATGCTGAAAGACTAATTCTGGGGGTCCTCCTCCTCCTCCTGGCTTGGATAGGGCAGTGCACAGCTCGTTAACGCCAGCCTACAGCACACAGCTCATTAACACCGGCCTACAGCGCACAGCACGGCTTCATCGTGAACCGAGCAGCTCAATAAACCATTCGAAATGTCAAGGCAAAGAGGTCAGAAGACACCACCACCTCACCGCCACCTTCAGAGCACTGCAAGGTCCGGTGCCCAACTCCCCGCCCTCACCTGCAGGGATTTATTCTCTGGCTGTGGGTTCATCCCTTCAAGCTCCCGGATGAGGTTGCCCAGGTGAGAGATCTCCACCGAGATCTTCCTATTGTCCTCCATCTGGGTCCGCACTATCTGATTCTCCACCTCCTCCAGCCACGTCAGGAGGAGACGTTCCTGCTCGTCCTGGAACTGCTGCAGCTGCTTAAACACCAACATCGTTTTCCACCTCTCGGCTCTTGTCTGCTGCTGCAAGGAACAGAGGGGGAGGGATGAGGATGGGAGGAAGCTGAGACCTGCAGAAGGCCCAAGCCCCTAGCACGTGGCCCTGGGTCCCCTTTGAGCTTCAAGTTTCTCCCAGAGCCCGGAGGAGCCCAGGCGTTGCATGCGGGCACCCACGAGTGTTTGCGGGATCAAATCCTGCTGGGATCGCGGTTGAGGACACGGGGGTGAGAGGAGAAGGATTCAGTGGCGAGGTCCTGTGGGGGCTGTCAGAAATGGTTGCTGGCACATGCAATTCCCCATGGTGGGCAGAAGCTGGATGGGACAGGACCGAATCCAGGCCAGGGACTGTGGCACCAGCAACCAGCAAGGTCACGATGTTCTCCTTCCATCCCCTCTTTATTTAGCAGGAAGGCCGTTGCCCATCTCTGCTCACCTTCACCCCCCCCGGCAACCTTCACCACTCCCATGAAGCTGCAATGGAACGTCTGTCACACTTTCTGCTTCTGCTTTTGAGGAAATCACCGGTTCTCACTTCCTTATCGCTACGGATCCACACACCCCCCCCCAACCTCTGGTAGCCCCAAAAAAGGCCTGGGAGATGGTGGAAACATCCAGCGTGGTGCACTCTCCGAAGGAATCATAGAATGGTTTAGGATGGAAAAGACCTTTAAGATCATCAAGTCTAACCGTCTGCCTCTGGATGCTCAGATGCCCCAAGCTACCATGAGAGCCACCACCCTCAGGGGGACCCAGACAGCTACGCAGCCATAGAACAGCCCCATTGGGGTCCGAGTTGGACACAAGCGTCCCCGGGGACCTCATGCTTGGTGTGGCTGACCCACCTCCAGGATGGTAGGAAGCAGCTCCTGGGGTGCACCAGTCTGCAGCGAAGATAGAGAGGTCTGGAGCACCATCCCACCACCCCATCCTGCAGATCTGCCCAGGAGGACCCACGTGCCCATCTCCTCCGTCCAAACCGGCGCTCCGCTAAGCTGCAAGCACCTCCCTCCGACCGTTTGGGAAACCACCTCACTCTCCACCGGCATTTGGAGGCTGCCAATCGGTTTCCCCTGGAGAAACATTTGCATTGCCTTCACGGGTCCCTCGCCATGATGGAGCGCGAGAGATGGGCCCACCTGGGTGGAGCTGCCTGCAGGTGTTTTCCTCCTCTCCACGAATTCAGGGGCCAACCCGGCGCCATTTCACCTGCGGAAGACCCTTCCGTGCGCGCAGCAGTGGCAAGTACCTACCAGATACTTCTGGCTTCTCTTCTCCCCAGTCAGTTTTAATCCTTGGAGCCTTTCTCTTTCATCCTTGAGGCTCTTCAGTTTGTTTTGGATTTGCTCCTGAGCATGAAAAAACAAAGAAGAATCTTAATCTGCAAGTTGTTGGGGAGGGGGATCATGGAATCACAGAATGGTTGAGGTTGGAGAAGCCCTTGAAGCTCCCCCAGCCCAACCCTTCCCCTACCCCTGCCATCCCACCCCCAAACCCTGGCCCTCAGCACCGCCTCTGCCCGGCTGTTAAATCCCCCCAGG